ATGGATTAATCTGGTCATGTCACAAGCTGAGCAGCTGCAGAATTTCAAAAACCTACCTACCTCTAGAATTTGAAAAACCTGCCTACTCCTGGTGCTGTGAACCAGGCTCAGGGTGGCAGAAGAAAGTTTATGATAAAATAAAGGATGTCAAATAATCTGCCATTCAAACTCATACAAGAACAATCTATTGACTTCTCTGTGCCATGATAGTACGGGACTTAACTGTCAAATGTGGAAAAATTTGGAACTGCAAACTGGCCTTTATTGCATGTTCACTCATCTGAGATAAAGACAACCTATAATAACTAGAATATAACATAAATGGAAGAAAGATGAAGCTAATGAAATCAGAGAGCTGTGATTCACAAAAGGAGAGTGATTATGATGGTTAAAAGAACATTTTATTTGTAAATGTAAAATAATCTCATTAGTGCTGAGAGTACAGAAAAATCTATCACCTGCTTCTTAATAACATTCAGGATAACAGTTGTTTTCAGACTGAGTCAAGAAATACCCATCAGTAAAAATGTGGCAGGAACAATTAACAAACATATGCTTTCTAATGTACTAATTGACTCCACTGTTGTCATTTGCCATAAAGTCTCTCAGTGAGTGTCCCTTTCAGTGCACTTTTAGCATACGCATTATGCTAAGCATATTAACACATATTTAGTAAATATTGCTGTGAACCTGCATTAAGATCAAAGTATTATTGCCAACAATGTATATGATGCTGCACTTAATTAGAAAATCTCTTAGGAATACAGTGCAATAGACACTGTAAATACAAGCTGAGCACTATAAGGAACTTTTAGGAATATTGTGATAAAATCTGAAATTCAAGTTCCAGAGCACCAATAGGCAAATTATTTGGTTTCCCGCAGGATATGGTTCCATGTTGTCAGTATATATTTTACTTTACGTGACTAAGCTATCTGACTGATTAGTGAGGTTTTTAATGCTAAGTGTGCTTTGATAAGTCTTCATTCATCTTAAATTAAAAACAATGTTAATTTATGATAAATATGTTTTATGAATTTCATGTAATGAAATAGTAATTTTATTCTGGGCCTCCACATTTTTTAATCTCCTTTTATAATCCTAAATCTTTATGTGAAAAAAAAATGGTAGCAACATTAAAAATGGAAGACGACCTAGATTTTCCTTTATATGCGCAAATCAGTAAGAGTTTTACTTGCCTAGAGGATGAGTGTGAAATCCTCACTTTGTGAATATTGTTGAGACATATACAGACCTGCAACTACCATTTGGCTTAAAAACACAGAAAGATTGACAAGGATGGACCCTAAGTGATGCTGATGATAAAAGTTTGTTTAAGGGAGTTTTAAATTGCGCAATTTCCTTTTTTTCTGTCTCCTCAGAGTGTACATGACATGATCACTTAAAATTACCTAGGTTCAACTAGAATCACAGCTTCCTAGCAAGAGGTGGCATGTCTTTTCCTCACTAAGAACCATCTGATTTGTCTTTTGAGACAAAGGGAATATGAAATAGCTGTAACTCATACCCCAAAGAAGTTGAAAGAAATGTAAGAAACAAGAAAAAAGAAAGAACGAAGTAATTTGCAGAGTTAACAAGCTGCGAGTCAAATGAAGCCACTTTTTTCTTTTTTTTTTTTCTTTTCTTTGGCCCTCTCACCTGATGTGGTGTTGGACCACGTGTGGATAAGTTTAGGAGAATCCAGTAGCCTGGAAGCTGACTCCAGCTGTGTGCTGCAAGTTCCCATCGTTCCCTCACAAACACCTCTTCCTTACCTACAACTACGAAGGCTGGTAATCCAAAACTGGCACCGGGCTATTTCACAGCCGATCCTGTTGGGGTTGTTTTTTTAAAAAATAGGTTTTCCTGTGACTATTTACCGCGTTATACATAACCGAGGCAGCAGAGGGAGCTCAAAGATTTTGGTCATTGGTGAGAGAGCTCGAGAACCAGGCAGGGGGAGAGAGTGACAGTGCCAAGAGCAATTACAACGACAGTAAAGGACGTGACTTCATGGACTTCTTTAAAGCTAATAGATTATATTTACTAATAATAGGTTAGTAATTAATTGATTTTATTTACTATAAAGGTGGTGAACAGGTTGCCCAGGGAGGTAGTGGAGGCTCCATTCCTGGAGACGTTCAAGGTCAGGCTTGATGGGGCTCTGAGCAACCTGATCTAGTAAGATGTCCCTGCTCACTGCAGGGCTTGGACTAGATGACCTTTAAAGGTCCCTTCCAGCGCAATGCATTCTATGATTCTGTGATATGCATATCCCATTTTCAGCTGGTATTTTAAATACCAACGAGACTTCACGGCACCATTTAGTGGCCAGGGTTTATTTTGCACTTGTTGTTTACTTAAGCTCTTTTGTTTACCATTTGGAAAAAAGTATTTATCAAAAACTTAAAAATCCTTTATGAGTCTAATAAATTCTTCTAATGAGTTGTTCTATGCATAAAGAGTTAGAATAAATATTATACATAGGTACCTGAATTTTAGGGACTACAGTTAATTCATAAAATAGCAACAATTCGTAAAATAGTGCAATGAATTTGTTCAACAATGCAGAATTCAGTATGTAAAATAATGCAAAATGGTTTTGATTGTAATTTTAAAACAGAAGGATATTCATGTTTTTCGGACGTTCATCTTCGCTATTGGGGAGAAGTAAAGGTAATAAAAATGCACGACTGAAAGTCCTTTCTACACAAAACCTCTTCTGCAAGGGAGGTTTGAGTCTCTGAGATCTCAACAACTGCTGACCAAAAGCAAAAGTCTGGTTTGAATTGTATCAGAAAATTCACTGTAAAGAGAATGCTAGCATCGTTAAGGCAGCATTTGTCCTAAGGTCAAAGTTGTACTTAATTGTCCTGTTTATGAATGCATATAATTAATAGAATGAGAAACTCTGTGGTTTGGTTTGGTATTTCCTATAACATAGTACCTGGAACTATCTGTTACATATCAGGTTGTATTCTGTCTTGACTGTTTTACATCTTCTTCAAGGCAATACAGAACAGATTGCAATTTCATTACAATATAGAAGTATTATACTGACTTACTTGTTTGCACTTAAAGGAAATCTTTGTAGTTCTCTTTTTTTTGGAGAGAAAATACACTTGAGATGTGAATTCAAGCATCGTCTTCCAAAATTCAGCACCATGTTTTAAAGTGGCAATTTTCTAAATATCCTTTCTATAGTGACCTAATTGCTGGATCTTTGCCCTTTCCTGACCCTGTGGTCTGTCTCTTGCTTTGTACCAGATTCTCCCATCCAGCCATTAAAAAGTCTCTGCGGAGCACTATTCTAATCATGTGAATATTGCTTAATCCTCTGATCGAACCTGAATAAATCTCCTTGAATGCCATGTCAATCTGTTTGGGATTTGCAATCTGGGAAGGCACCCAAATACAAATTAAAGTAATTTTCTACCTGAAAAAAATCATCTGCCTCTCTCAGTAACATCTACCACTATGCTCCATGACAAGTAAAGATGAGAGAGCTGTGAATATCACTTTGGACATAGAGGGCATAAATATCTGACTTTATGAATTTATACTATTGATTTTTAACTACAGGTCCTTGGTGACATTCAGGTCTCATTTTTGCTCTTACTGGTAATTCAGAATCACAGAATGTGATCATAGAAGGATGACTTTTTTCTTAGCTTATTTTTGTTTTGCTTATTTTTACCCTTTGTTCTGTCATTCCAATTGCATATCCTGAACACTGAAATTGTTGACATTTCAGAGTATTTACTATATTTGGATATTACAAATTCCCAGGGTTATTCCTTCACCTATATTTTAACTATCTCTGTCCTCAAATTACTACGTAACTGTTTTCAAAGTTGTTACCTGCCTTTCTTCAAAACGTTTAAGGCACTTCTGTGGAGAAAGAATGCCTATATCTTTTCTGCCACCAAATTTTAATGAGAAAATCTCTGCTCCAAGTTACTGACATTTATATTTCACTGGTTAAATAAGATTATAAAGTTATTTTTGTTGATTTACAGTTCAATATCTAGTTTTACTATCTTTAGACTTTGGCTTCTCTTTCTTCTTATTTCCCTGAAATCTTCAGTCTTGTTGCAGTCTAACTTTTGCCTTTCTTTAATCTGCAATCCACTTATATTTATGTCCACTCTTAAAATTCATAATGAAATCTTATATGTCAGATTGCTGCTTTAGTTATTCTCTCTGTGCAATAGCTCTAAGGAAGAAGGACTTTTAAAATAAAATATACATCCCCGTATGCACTGGGTGTAATGAAATTATAAAGTATTATTAACAAAGCAATGTGATGAATTGGCATTTTTGGGATTAGAAATGTGGAACACTATATATCTGTAGGTATATAGTTCTACCTATAGGCGAAACACTGATACCTCTCTAACTGAAAATAATGAGTTCATTACAACTGTCAAAAAATCTCATGGAGAAATTAAAATAAAAACTTTTTTACTTTTACTTGTGTGATAGTATAATGATGGATTTTCTGTTGGAAAAATTCAGTTGCCAAATTAAATGTTCCACCTTATGTTCTCAGAAATGGATTTCCTTCTTCATTTAGTTCCAGATGAAAAGACACCCTAGCTAGCTTTTGAGCTAATTTTCTTTGAAATTTAAACATTGTCTGAGGTAAAATATCTTACCATGGTCGTCTCTGCAATGGATCCAAAGCTGTTTATAAATATGTTGCATGTGACATTAACTGGAGGGCCTGCAAAAGAGAAAGAATAAACAGTCCCTGTTCCACAATCATTGCTCATTGAGTGACTGTAAAATATAAACAATTGTGAAACAATGTTTAATGACTTCGGAGGAAACCATGCTACATTCACAATTTATTTAATGTAAAATCAAATTTAATAATTTCCAATCATTTTCCTTTTGATTTTTCTCAACCATACAATACTTGACTGGCCAGTTCTAGCAATGAAAAAAAGAAATTTCATTGTAAACTTGCACAGATGATTCCTTGCAAAAAAAGCAGAATCCCACTTGAAGTATATAGTTAAAAACATTTTCATGTGTGTTTCAGTGAGCAATGTATGTCACTTCTTATAACAATTAGGGGAAAAAGTGACCTTTTTCACTCCAGGCAGCTGCTACCTTTAATGTTATCTGTCATCACTGGTAAGAGAAATACATTATTGTTGCTCTTATCTCTACTGCTTACAGGAACAAATGTGGATAAGAAAGAATGACTTAGGTTCTACTTTCATTTCTCTTAAATCCATGAAATGGTTAAGAATTAAAAGAATTAAAGATGGTTAAGAATTAAAAGAATTCTATTTTCTGTTACCATGGGTCTTCGGTCAACTGTTGTTCTGTCTTGCATTTTTCAAGCATCAGTAGTAGCAGAGCAGTCATTATGATAACTGAACGATGAATCATCTCTTCATGGAGAAGGTTTTATATTTTTTCTCTGAAAGTCTGTAAAAATGACATTGTGCTAATTTTTCTGTAATTTCTTATCGATTTCAGGCTGTGTACAGTGGAAACAAGGTTTTTCCACCACAAGGTTTTCCTGCCAAACCTGCACTTTGATGTTCTTGGACCACTAATCCAGCTCAGCACTGGAGAACTTGGTTTCTTTTTGCAACTGTAAGCAGTCACTCATAATCTGTATCTGGAATTTAGGGACTGGTTCTAAGAACTCTAATGTAATTTTTTTTTTTTAGGGTTGCTGGAAGTAAGATGCTGCTCTGCCACTGCTGGTGGTTTGCAACTAGCAAAATCTAATGCAACCAATGAACTTGATATTAAATACTTGAAGAACAAGGACCTCCATGAAAAAAACTGCCAACGGTACACAACTAGGAGCATTTTGCTTTCTTTCCTCAAGACAATAATCGTTTTGAAGTACTGTATGGCAATTGCAGCAAAAAAAATCACTATATGTGCTTCAGTCATAATATACAAGACTACACCTATGGAGCAGAATGCCCAAGTAAGGAGGTATCACTCTGCAGTCATTTTGGCACTATTTTCCCTTTGATACTATTTTCACTTTGATTCTTGGTTAATTATATAGAGCTGTTGAGCATATCCAGTACTTCTTAGAATTCAGTAAAAGCTTGACCTTGACAACTCCTGGAAAGGATCAAGGGAAAAAGAAAAAGCCCGTGAGATGAAAAGAGGCAGTCACTAAAAACTGTCAGGGAGAAAATGGTACTTCTGGCTATGTTAGATAATTTGCGTGTTTGCAAGGCAGCTTTCCTTCTACACACTTTCATGTTGTAGTACTTGTCATCATTTCAAATTTGATTTGATACTATCTTTAAAATAGTACTGTGCTTTAAAGTGTAAGTTTGCTGTATCAACATAGTTGCTTTTACAAAGAAAAAGCTCTACATCTCTACAACACCGGTGCCTAATTTCAAAAGCAGCATTACAAAAATATAGTTAACAGCTAATTAAAAAGACCATAAAAAGCAGCTTACAAATACTTTACAAATTACTTGAAGATACTGTGCTGGGAGTAAAAACTAAATTCCAAAACATGGTTAGAAAAGTACAAATGAAGTTAAAAGTGGAAGTCATATTCAAACATGGAAACTTGACCAGGTTGAACATGGATTAAAAAAAGGAGTTAAAAAGTAGAGCTGAAACTCATTAGAGACTAAAAAGCTAACAATGATATCTGCAAGGTGTTAAAAATAGAAGCCTCCCAAGATATGGAAAGTGAACTCAAGAGAAAATGATATAAAAGTATCCATGAAACTGAAGAAGCTCTGAGAAGAAAAACTAAATGAAGTCTTTGTAGCAGCATTTGTCTCCAATTGCTAGCTGTGTCAAATACTGCAGCTGTTCTGATGGAAGATTCGTACGAGGACCATAGAAGGTATTTCAGACTAAGTGAACAAGAACAAGCTGACAGGCTGAGGTGATACCAAACCAGACATTCCAATAGCCTTTGCAAAATTCTGGGAGTAAGAATCACTGTGAGTCAGCTATCACCTGTGTGAGTTTTGTTATCAATGGAATGTATACCATGTCCAGCAAGTATAACTCGAATTAAGAAAGGAAAACAGACTTCAGGTATGATGGTGGATGACACTGACAATGAACTTTATCCCTGTAAGCCTTATTTCTATAATAGTCAAGATGTTAGAAATAATGAGAACTGTTATGATTAAGACATATAAATGTATTATTTTTGCTGAAATAACATCTTTCAGATCTACTGAAGATCTCTGAGATAGAAAAGTAAGAGCTGATAAGCATGTGGACAAAGGCAATATAATTGAATATTCATTAATGTGTTATATATAATTAATTAAAATAGTTTATTTGGAGTTTCAAAAGCTTTTCGGCATGATCTTTCTTCAAAGGCTTTTTAAGTAGGCTAGTCTTGAGGAAGTAAGGCAGTTCTCTTATATGCCTTTTGCTTTAATGTTGTTTAATGTCAGGGATAAATAGCCATTTTTCGAAGAGCGAGGTGATTGCTGGTAAGTTACCCCATGGATCTGCACTGAATCTTTGTAGTTAAGTATTAATGACCTAGAAAAGAAGATAGAAGAATATAATTTCATTTCTGGTATAAAATTTTGAGGGTGATTGTATATAAAACTAACTGCAAGGAGGTGCATAAAAATCACCAATAAAATGTGATTAAATTCAGTGTCAAATGCCAAATAATCCTTACTATGCATTCCTAGCGATGGAGTCCAAATTAATGATTTCTGTACAGGAAAATGCAGCTAGAATAATTATGAATGGTTCTCTGGAAGCATACTCTATAATCAATAAAGATAGGAGAATGCAAAGAAATGCATTAAAAAAATGGACTACCATACAAATAGGTCATGAACTTCCATGTTGAATACTTTGAAATTTCTCCTGTCTTCCTCAAAAGGATATATTAAGGAGAAAAAAGCTGTCAAAAAGTCAAACAAGGACCACAAATTCTATGAAATGCTGCCACAGTAAAACAGCTTAAGTAGAACAGGACTCTTCACATTTGAAAAGGGATACAGTAGGGAGCAATATATAAACGTACTGTCCTGAGCTAAAACCCAGTCCTATTTAGTAATTT